ACCACAGGCTGCCACGGATAGGCATCACAGGGCTCAACCATAGGGCACCAACGCATTAGGAACGGACCGCAAGGCATAGATCAGACACGGCCGATTGCGCAAAGCACGGACAACCATAGGGCACCACACGAATGGCGCCGACCAGGAAAGCTGGACTGCGCAACACCGGGCCGCACCGTCGGAGTAAGAATCTTCATTGTTGTGCTAATTGTGCCAGTCTCTGGCCAATCTGCCAATTCGTTCGAGTTCATCCGCCACCGCCAGACCAAGCGTCTAGGAAGGGGAGAGTGGAGCATGGAGGAGGAGGAGGAGGAGGAGGAGGAGGAGGAGGAGGAGGAGGAGGAGAAGGCGGCGAGGAGGAGGAGGAGGAGGAGGAGGAAAAGGAGGAGGAGGAGGAGGAGGAGAAGGAGGAGGAAAAGGAGGACGGGGAGGAGAGCCCCCTTTTCGCCTCTTCGTTCCTCCTTGAGCCCCTCGCGCCTGCCACAGGGCGACAAGCCATGGGAGACCGCTTGGGAACGGTGGACTGCGCAACGGAAAGGGCGAGCCGTGCGGGCCCAACGCCCAGGGCACCCGCCATCGGGCACCGACCAGAAGCGGCCTATGGCGCAAGACAGGACCAGCCATGGGGCACCAACGCACAGGGCACAGACGCCAAGAGGCAGAAGTCGGTGGAGAGCCCTGGAGGGAGTTGACAAGGAGGTGGCCTTCTCAGAAGGCTCGGAAGTCCCCCAGCCTTCTGAGAGAAGTTGTCTGAGCCTGCCCCGAAGACACAACAAAATCTTCACAGAAGGCCGGAGGGCTTCTGAGAAGCCCCGCCGCCTTCTGAGAAAGTCTTCTCCTTCTCACGCCCCCCCCCCTCCCTCGCCGCCGAACAAGGCACCCACAAGGAATTGCCGACTGTGGCACCAGTTTTTTGGGAAGCATATTTTGGCAACTGAATCGCTATCGCTGGCGTTACAGAAGCAACCGAACGTTCCTTGCGAGCCTGGCAGAAAAACTCGAAGCTCGCCCCGAGGAACAGACTGGGTCTTGCCTGTCAAGACGCACTGATTCAAGCCCGACTGGCACACGGACCATGATATTACAGCTTGGCGGTGGCAGCCCTGATTTTGGCGAAAAACTCGTTTGCACAAGACGTGCCACCACGCCTGCAGCCAAGGAACGAGAAGCGAGAGGGAGGCAGGAAGGGCGGTTGGCTGAGGGAAGCGGGAGGATGGAAGCGGGAGGAGGGAGGAGTCGAATCGGCCCGAGCTCTGGGGGCAATCGGTCAGATCGTCCTCTCGTGAGACGCCTTGGCCACTGGTAGCATCTTCATACCAGTCAAGAACAACAGTCCAAGGAGGACGGAGGAGCGGGGAGGAGGGAGGACTCGAAACGACTCGAGCTCTGGGGGCAAGACATCAGAGCGTCCACTCGTGAGACGCCCCGGCCACTCCTGGCATCTTTGCACCACTCTGCGACAACCGTCCAAGGAAGAGGGAGGAGAAAACATGAGCGATCGTGGCTTGAGTTGTCGAGTGGGTGGAGTGGGGGGTGGATGATGAGGATCAGGAGGGGGAGGAAGGTCGAGTAGGGTCAAGCGGTGAAGCGGGCTGCGCAAGGCGAAAAGACATCGGGCTCCTTGCCCTCCCCCACGTCTCGCTGCCTCCACCACCCTCGCCCCCATTCCCGCCCGCCTTCCCTCTGCTGCCCTGACGGTCGCAGACGGCACTGCCGAATTGGCCAAGAGCCACGAAAAGCCCACCAAGTCGAACAGGAAGAGGGAAGGACACACTAGAGGACCAGGTTGGATTTTCTCCTCAGAGGTCTTCGCGCCGACTCAGACGTGCCCGTTCGGTACACCTGGTTGCGGGGCCCTCAGGGTCTTCTTTCTGCTACTCTGTTTCTTCCTCGTCGTCCTCCTCCTCTTCCTCCCCTTCCTCCCCTTCCTCCCGCCCCTCTCTGATGTCGACGTTGGTAAATCCGCCCTCTTCCCCCCGATGCCAGTGGGTCTCAATGCTTCTTTGTTGCAGGGGTGCCACTAGCCGTGCGGTAGGCAGTCCGTGGTTGCCTGTCCATGATGGAGACTGCCAGTGAGAATTATTCGGAGGACGGAACCCGCCGGGCGGCATTTGTATTAAGTTGCCTGCGGCAAAGCCCGCCACCGTGGCAGCACAGCATCGAACTGATTGACATATTGACATGCATGAAGGATGAGTGAGTTGAGTGTTGCCGAAGAGGCTCTGCGGAACAACGCTTGAGATGCTCTAGCGTGGCGTGGCACTGGTCATTACTTTGTGTGGTTGTTGCGTTGCCTCTCGGGAGCGTGTCGTGACCAGACCCCTTGTATGACACCTCAACTGGGGGGCTGGTTTGCGGTGATTGAAGCCCGCAGGGAACAACATCGGCGGCTTGTTTGCTACCTCTTAGGGGCCCCTCCCAAGGTGTCCCAGGGCTCGACCTAAACGGTGCTTTGGCGGTTTCGTGGACCGTTTTCATTATGACCTCGTGTCGCAGCGAAGGCGGAACGAGGACCAAGCGAGCGAACATGAAAACAGCACGGAAGCGAGCCACACTGCCTTGGTCCAGCCCCGAAGCGCCCCTTTTGGGGGGATCGGGAGGGCCAGCCGGGAGCCGCGCCTCGGGGCCGCCTGCGGCGCGACGGCTCCGCCGGGCTCGGAGGACCTCCCGGGCACTCTCGGGGGCACCCCGCGGGCACGCCCGGGGAGGCGAGGGCCTCGGGGGCTCAGTGGGCCCTGGAAACGCCAGGGCCGTTTTTGTTACCGGTTCCGTTTTGCCGTTTTTTGCCAGTTCCGTTTCGCCGTTTTTTTACCGGTTCCGTCGCCGTTCTTTGACCGGTTCTGGCTCTGGTTCCCATCCTGCAGCCGTTTTTGTTGCCGTTTCCGGTCGCCGTTTTTTTTGCCGCTTCCCTTTTCAAGGGACACTTTTCTGGAAACGGTGAACAAACGGCCCTGCCGTTTCCGGGGCCCACAAAGCTCGGGGGCAGCGCCCGAAGGGAGTTTGGATCCCCAGGGCGCCCACTGGGGACTTCGGAGGGTCACCGGTTCTGCCGGGCTCGAGGACCTCCTGGGCCCTCTCGGGGGCCCCTCGCAGGCACGCACGGGGAGGCGAGGGCCTCGGGGGCAGCGCCCGAGGGGAGTTTGGATCCCCAGGGCGCCCGCTGGGGGCCTCGGAGGGTCACCGGGGGGGAACACTGGGAAAACACCCCGGAGGCGGCCCCTCCTGGCCTCGTTTTTGGACCCGCTTGCTTCCTTTTTCTCCTCCTCCTCCTCCTCCTCCTCCTCCTCCTCCTCCTCCTCCTCCTCCTCCTACCCCTCCTCGTTCTTCTCCTCCTACTCCTCCTTTGTCTCCTCTTTCTCCTCTTTCTCCTTCTCCTCCTCCTCCTCCTCCTCCTCCTCCTCCTCCTCCTCCTCCTCCTCCTCCTTCTCCTTCTCCTTCTCCTTATTCCTCCCCGCCTCTGGGCCTGGGGTGGTGCCTCTTGCATGTTGCGGATGTCTCAGGGCGATCTCGGGTCGCCCTGGAGGCTACCCACGAGGTCGAGCAGAGCGCCAGGGAAGGGAGCGACTGGCACGGGGGGGCGCGCTGTGTCACAGTGGGCGTGCGACCCGTAGTTTTTTGGTTTCGGGGGTGGGGGGGCGTCGCCAGTGGAAGTCTGCAGAAGCCCCACTCCGACAGCTAACACGCATGCGAACACGCTCCAGCACCCGTAGTTTTTTGGTTTCGGGTGGGGGGACGTCGCCAGTGGAAGTCTGCAGAAGGCCCACTCCGACAGCTCATGCGAACACGCTCCAGCGTGCCGAGTGCACGACGGCGGGCTGCTGGTCACGATCTGGTTCACGCTGGGCGGGTGCGTCCTGCTCTGCCGCGTGGCCAGGCGGTGGAGTCGCAGCTCCCCTCGACGCCTCGTGGCCTCGTGCTCTCGCCACCTCTTCGGAGTATGCAGGGGGGCCTCCCTTCTCTTCGCCGGTGCTGATGGTGGCCCTGCCGCGGAGCAGGTGGCCACGGAGTTGCAGAAGAGGCGGCTTCTCCGTGCCCGCGCGTCGATTCCATATGCCAATGTTGCCATCGCAGCTGTCCTCGGGTCGGCGCTGTTCCGGACCGCGGGCCCGGACCCACGCAGGAACTCCTTGGTGCAGGACGTCTGCCTGCTGGTGGTGTCCTACGCGAGCCTCGCTCTCTGCGGGTACGCTCGGAGCCTGACGCTGAGGGCCCTGGACACCTGGTCCTGGCTCGTGGCGACCTGCATCGCGCTGTCCGTGTCTCCACTCGCAATGGAGGGAGCCGATTGGTCCAGTGCTTTGCTCCCTTTTGCTGCTACCATGGTCGTCTGCTTGCTGAATTCTAGCATCTGGATGAACTGTGCCTGGCTACTGTCCGTATCCATGTAGATATCGAGTACGGTCATGATCGGCGGCGACGGCAACCTCCAATGCGAAGACCGTCTGACAACGCCCATGACATCTGTTTCGTATGTACTCGGAGCGGCTCTCGTCTTCGCCGTTGTAGTCGTCTCGTTTCACAAGTCGATTGTCCAGGGTGTGCAGTACCAGGTGGAAGCACACATTTCGAGAAACGAGCTCAACGCAGCGCGCTCGGTGCTGCATGGCGTTTGCGACGCTGTGGTAGAGCTCGACAGCGGTTTTCGATTACAGGACGCATCGCCCGGGCTCGCTGAAATGCTGCTATTGAACCCGCAGCGCTTTCTCTGTGGTCAGGATCTGAGATCTTTTTTGGCGTCAGAGCATGATCGACAGAAGTTCTCTGAACACATGGGCCAGGCGTGGCTGTTGAGCGAGGATGCAGTCGGACTCAGCGCGGCGTTCCATGTGTCCATGAAAGACAGCTCTAGTATACCCCTCGACGTTGAGGTGTTCTCTGTGCGCTTCGTGAACCGAGAAGGGCAGGCGGCATATTTGGTCGGAATCCGAGAGTTCACCGACATCAGCCCGATGCTGAAACACAGCACGGTAGCACCGCGGCAAACATGCCTCTCCGGCAAGGACTCCTCGAATATGAATTCCGAGGCTTCCTCGTGCAGTGGGGAGGATATGAGCGAGCTGAACCCTGTGGCGTGGATCAACCTGCTGACCCCGCGCTACTCTGTGCGACGCCTGAACTCCGCCTTCGAGCAGTGCGTCGACACCAGGGGCGAGCTCCTCCTCGCCATGCGGCCCTCCCAGCAAGAGGAGTTCGTAAGCTGGGCGCAGGAGTCATATAGGGGGCCAGATGCGAACCCCACCCTCCCCCCCAGAAGTCGTGGGGGGTAGGGGTAGGGTTCGCATCTGGGCCCCTATCATACCTTGCTTTCTGCCAGGAGGGATCGGGCTCTGCACACCGGGAGTACCACAGCCGGCTTCAGTTCCGGCGCCCCCGCACCGCGGAGGAGGGCCACGCCGGCTCGGCGCGCCCGGTGCGGAGGAAGCGGACGATTTCGGCCACCGCGAGGCCCGAGCCCATGCCAACGGGGCGCTACAGAGCAGGCTGGTAGCTAAGGGTGCGTTTTCAGTGGCGCTTCCCACAACACGACTTGCCGCGCACAGGTGCGAGGTGAACCCCCCACCCCACCCGGAGCTACGATGGCGCGTCGACGTTACTGCCGTCCCGAGGTATCGCGCACTGGTGCGAGCCAAATGCCCTGTCACCCCGTTCTCGCTTGAATCGGGGGAGCGTAAGACCCGGGTTTGCCAGGACTCGGGTTCGCCATCGTTTTTTGACGACCGCGCCTCGGATTTTGACGAGGAGGAGTTTCGTGGGATGTCTGCAGCGGGAGGCCTCGTCAAAATGCAGGCTCGGCCTCGTCATTTGTTTGACGACCTCGTCGGGGATTTCCGAGTCCCCTGTACCCAGGTCTTACGTCCCCCTGATTGAAGAGTGCCCTCGGCTACCGCCCCGTTCACCAGCGCCCCGCTTGCAGGGGGCCTGGGAGGCTCGACCGGACGCCACTGCCCGACCGGCAGGAGCACGAACACGGAGTCGTGCGGCTCGTCTTGCAGGACCAGGGGGGGCAACAGCACGGGTCGGGAGACTCTCCATGGGGGGGGATCCCACGGGGGGGCAGGAGGGGATCCCCCCCATGGGATCCCCTCCTGCCCCCCCATGGGATCCCCAGGGGATCCTATGGGATCCCCCCCCTGGGATCCTATCCCCCCATGGGATCCCCCCCCCATGGAGAGTCTCTCTAACGGGGGGGGACTGGCCCAGGAGAGGGGGGAGGCCTGAACTCAGGCGATCGCGAACGTGGAGCAAGGGGGCGTGGGTCGGCGACGGGCCCCGCTTCCGTGGGAACTCACGGATTTCCGCCGCCGAACGAGGAGGCATTGACCGCATTTTGGGGAGGGCACCTCCCCCGATCCATGGATTTGGCGACCGCGCGCCAAATCCATGGATCGCGAATCCTCAGCTACACCGACACAATTAGGCGTCGACCCCCAGGAAAAGATGGGGGAAAAGCATGCGAAGTGGGGGGGGCAAGGCGAAAACCCAGAAGACATGGGAAAACATGGGAATCATGGGAGTTGCGGATCCATGGATCGCGAATCCATGTTTGCGCGCCCCCGATCAACACCCAATCGCCAACCGGGGCCCGGGTGCCCTAGCCTGCCCAGGAACGTGGAGTCTCGTCCTCGCCAGCCTGTGTCCGATCCGTCCGCGACGTGCCGCCGATTCCAGGCCAGTGTTCCCCCCACCTGAGCCAGCCGTCATCGTCAAAGTGTCCACCACCACTCCCATATGTAGGACGGGGGAGAAGTGATGATGATGATTATGATGATGAGGATGATGATGATGACGATGACGATGACGATGAGGATGAGGATGAGGATGAGGATGAGGATGAGAATGAGGATGAGGATGAGGATGAGGATGAGGATGATGATGATGATGATGATGATGATGATGATGATGAGGATGAGGATGAGGATGAGGATGAGGATGAGGATGAGGATGAGGATGATGATGATCATGATGATGATGATGATGATGATGATGATGATGATGATGATGATGATGATGATGATGATGATGATGATGATGATGATAAGATCCCCCTCCTCCTCCTGCTCCTCCTCCCCCTCCTCCCCCTCCTCTTTTTCTTCCCGAAGCCGTGGAGCCCCCCTCTGAGGGCACAACTGTCCACGCGGGAAGTCCCTACGCTAGAGGAACGACAACAGCTGGAATTTTCCCAGCCACACCTGGGAGGTAGCCCTGGCACATCCTTCGGACGGCCCGCCTACCCCACTCCCCAGGCTTGCAACACGGGGCGAGGAATCCCTTGAGTTGCTTCGAACTGTGCGCACCACAGAGCGTACACGCAACAACAGGATGGGCCGCATCCTGAAGGGACTCCTCCACCCTAAAAACAACTAACCGATGTACCTTCAAACCCTGCTCGTGCAAGCGCTCATTGGCACCACGCGCACGCGTCGAGATCGACCCAGGGCAGACCTCGGACACGGGGGCCACAGCACGGCAGCAAGCACACCAGGGTCGCCTGGCAGGCCCTCTTAAATCATGAGGCAGCTGAGCAGGGACGACAACAAGGAGAGGGGGCGCGCTCACACGCGTGCGGCGCGCAACGTGCGTAGTGTCACGCCCGTCCACATGCGCGCCCACCTCCCCAATCCTGTGCCCCACCTGCTCCACAAACTGCTCAGCCTGCTGCATGCGCTTCCTATCTTCAGCAGGCGCGCGCGCAAGCTGGCCTCCAAACTTCGCCCATACATCGGCGTGGAAGTTGCCGAAACGGTCCCGACGCGTGATGCGGCCCGCATCCACGTCAGACATCGTGCAGTGACTCTTGACTTTACGCATCCAAAGGCCGGCCTCGCAAAGGCCGCCAAATTCGGCCAGGGCCTTCCAGAAGACCCGCCAGAGACAAGCCCAGGCCGAGGAATGGGCCGTGGTGGCCTCTTCCCCTCTCTCAGTCACTCCACGAAACACAAAATTTGAATCAGTGACAGCAGTAATCGGAGGCAACGAATTCTGAACCAAAAAGATCAAGGCCTCCAATTCGGCCCCGTCGATGTCGAACACGGACTGCGAACAAGTGCAGTAAACAATATCAATTACACCGAGGGGGGCCTCATCAAGCAGAGTAACGACGGCCCAGCCTGTACAACTCAAACTACTCCACTGGCCTTCAAAGGCCGAACCGTCCAGGTAGGCTTCCTTGCCAATAAGGACCCCAGGCCCCGCATGCTGATGCCAGACCACCGTGTCCTGGGCAGGGGCCCTCCACGAGGTCCGCGGGATGGGCCAAAGCGCCCTCTCCAGGAGCACACGGACCTGGGACCGATCCTGAGCCTGAACCAGCGGAGTAAACGCATCAGGGCACGGCAGCTCCTGACACAAGTCACATTCGAAATGTCCGTGGACAAGAGTGCCAGGTTTGCGACAAATGAGGCACTCATTACTCAAGGCTTTCCTAGCTTCAAACTTCCTGACCATGGGCCACTGCCCGCCAACAATGCACGAACGAAGGTACGCACGCGCCTCGGGCCCCAGGGACGGAAGGTCTCGATTTTGAGCACAGCGAGGCCGTCCGCTGGAGACAGCCTGGACCAGGGGCAACCAAACCGCTCCAAACTCCAGATGTTTCAAATCATCGTGCTTCGCCACCTGTCGCCACTGCCAGGCCGTGGCGGCCTGCACCAAATAGTGGCGGATCACTCGAGGACAGAGCACACTGATATCAAGGTCTAAGCCCTCATGCGTGGTCCACTCGAAGGCGGAACGAATCGACCAGCCGACACGAGCCAGCGACAGCCGACACGCACTAAACGGACCAGGCACTTGGGTCCAGAGCGAGACCGACGAACTTCCTTCCAGCCCATCCCGCACCACATGCCTCGGCACCCACCCCTCCCATATAGCTCGGCAGAGCGTGAGCACAGGCATCAGAGTAGCTCGAAGGATCGGGTCAGCATCCTCCTCGCACATCAAGGTTAAAGTGCGGGACTTCCCAGCGGTAGCCCCAGTGAGACACGCGAACGCAGTGCTACGCATAGTCTCAAGGTTCGAAGTCGAGCATCCCGTAACATTCATCCCATAAGACATACTCGCCTCCAAACCCGACCGAGCAACCTTTCGAACTCCCAGACGTTTCTTCTGCTCAGTGCGGATGAGGCCAATCCGCCTCAGGCGCTGACGAGCACCCAGAAGCCGATATTTGCGTATTGCATGCCCGACGCGCCGCCCGCAAGAGAAGTCAATGCCAAGGTTTCGCTCATGCAGTGTAGCTTTCGTGCCCATTTTCGCCTGCAGACGTCGTGCAACCTCATCGCGCACACACTGCTCATTGCACAACACACGTGACTTGTCAACATGTACACGTAAGTCCATTGCAGCGAGGGCCTCCTGCAAGTCTAACGACGCCTGGACCAGCTCACGCGTAACTTTAGATTGCGTGCCAATCCTGTGCAATAGCAAATCGTCAACGACAATGGTGGGGACGACGGTCCGATGCATTCTGTGCATGGAGCCAAGCGGCCGAATCAAACTCAACTTGAGCATGCCAGTGGCCCAGCCGTCACCTGGTAGAATGGTCTGCTCAACCACCATCGGCGACGAGACAACTTGGCCCAGACAACAAAAACGCTCAGCACGATATAACTCAACATTCAACTTGAGTTGCCAGAGAGGGAATCCAGCAGCCACTGCAGCCTCCAAAAGCCAATGATGTTCCACTTGCTCAAAGGCTTTCATCAGATCCCAGAGAACCATACCAGAGACCCAAATGCCCTTAGTGGAACCTTTAGCCTTCGTGGACACATACTCAGACCAGGCCGTCTGCTGCCAGACGGCTCGATCGCACGATCGCCCCTTGGAGGCCCAGAAATACGATCGATCATTGCGGGACTCCCACTCACGAGCTATCGGGCGGCGGAGGCGTGCCTGAACCCGAGCCAACACGTTAATTAGCGCTATGGGGCGCACGCCGCCCAGGCGCTTGGACAAGAAGGCGATCTTCGAGGCAAACTTCGGCCACTCGGCCGACGCCTCGACGGCCATCAGGATGTCGATAAACACTTCCAGAGCAGGATCGCACAGCATGGACAACTGCTGCGGCCGAATCACGCAGAAACTCACGCCAGTGTGCTTGGGGAAGGTTTGCAGAACTTTTCGAAGATGTTCGACACATGGACGCTCTGGGCGAACACCAAGATCAGCAGGCCAAATGAGGTCCTTGTGCCACTCTCCGACCCTCCACCACCTGCTCCACTCCTCCTGTATCTTGTCCACCTGCTGCTGCCGATCACGAGGACGAAAAAGCGACTCGGTGCTGGCGTCGTGAAAGCCCTCTGGGAGCTTCGTGATTATGTGGAGCCCTCCAGCCCCTCCGACAGCTTGCTCATCAACCCAGGCTCGAAACTTTGCTTGCCGTTGGCTTTCGTCACGTTTGGCCAGCTTGAGGGCCACCTTCTTGGTAATGTTCGCCAGGGCCCCGAGGATCTCGCAATCCCAGAACTCGGCCCCGAAGATCTGGAAAAATCCCCACCATTCACCTGCAGGTCATGCACCTGTCTGCACACTAGCAGGCGCCGTCGCCTGCTTACGAGCAAGAGCACGCAAAGCGGTGACGCGAGTGAGCGGCTGAGCAGAGCAAGACGCAAAGTGCAGGCTAGCTGAGACCGCGCGCAGCCACAAAGCTTCAGGAGACGCCTTCGGGAACCTGGGGATCTTCGGCGCCAGCACGGAGACCCACTTGGGACAGAGTGGCTGATCACGACCCTGGTATTTATGAGCATCTTCTCCTACAACATCATATACATCACACAGCTCGATCTCTGCCTGGCGAAGAAAGCAGTTCCAAGCATGCGACAGCTCAGGACGGGTCGAAGAGCCCGTAGGGGAGCCGTCCTGGTTGCAGTCCACCAACTGAGCTTCAACCTTCTGACCGACGTCCTTCCAAGCACTATCATGCTCACTGCGCTGACAACCGATGGGACGATCGACGGGAAAAGCACGAGGCACAGGAACAATACACACGCGCGGCCGCACTGCATCACTCGAGACCTGCAACCGAACAGGCACGTGCGAGTGCGTACTTATCTGGATGTCCACCAAAGCCTCGACCTTGTCAACCACCAGCTGATTCGACACGACGAAGAAATCAATCGTTCGACCGCTGGAGAAGGTAGCCACGGTAGGATGAAACATGTCAGCCTCAAAGTACTTCAATATACCCGACTCGCGCACTTCATCCGGTGTGCAGTTGAAATCACCTCCAATGATGTACGGCATATTCATTCCACGAAGGCGCTCAGCCAGCTTCAGAAGAATCTGAAAGTTAGGAGCACCCATGCCTTCACCACTGATGAGGTACACGTTCACAACGAGGACCCCGTGCTTGGCGAAGCCAGAGTGGCACATCATAGATACCCTACCAGGGACCAGGACCTCCGTGGACATGGTCTCTAACCTCGCAATGCCGTGCATCCTGGGACACATGGTAATGAGGCCTCCGTGCCCATGATTACCCTCGACCACATCATCAGCGGGAGAAGAGCGAGCACACCAGTCAAGTTTGCCCAACTCAGCTTCGGACTCCGTACATCGGTGGCCATAGAGGTGAGTTTCCTGGACAAGGATAGCGTCTGCAGCCTTAAACTCATTATGGACCAAGAGTGGCTGCAGAGACGAATATGCATTTACGTTGGCGGAGACGACTGACCAGCTGCTAAACGCCGCACTTGGGTTTCTTAGTGACTGTGGCCTTGAGCTCGGCCAGAGAAGCAAGGCGTTCAGGATCACCCCCACATGCTTCCGCCATCTCTTCCCAAATGCGCTGGCTGATGGCACGCTTGGCGCCTGCATCGAAGTGTGCCCACGGCCGCGACCCTGCATCATCGGCCCAGGCGTCGTCCAAGTCATCATCTTCATCCCCTTCCATATCAGAATCATCCACTGCCTGAACTCCCGAAGCAGAACCAGGAAGAGCCCCAAGCACTTCGGCACCAGGGAGACCAGGGAGACCAGGCCCCGCTGCTGCTGCTGCACCTGCTCCTGCTCCTCCTCCTCCCGCGGCGGGGGCGGCGGCGGGGGAGGCTGCAGGTGCAGCCGCTGCTGGCGCAGGGGGACGCAGCGCCGCCAGCAGCGCCTTGAGCGGCCCCTCGATGGCCCCCAGCGCCCCTTGCGGCACCTCCCCCAGCGCCGCGTCGAGCTGCTGCGCGAGCACCGCAGCTCCCTGGGGAGCTGCAGCGGCCGCGGGCGTCGGCGCTCCCTGCCCGACCCTTCCAGCCGCCGCAAAACGAGCCTCCTCCACAGCAGCTTTAACCTCCTCCTCCAGGCGTTTGATTTTGAGGCGATGCTTGTGGAGGGCCTCAAAAGCATCCTTGGCTGCCTTTTCTTTCTTTGCCAAACCCCCCTGAGCATCACACAAGAGCTGAGCCTTTCGATCCACCTCGGACTGGGCAGACTTGAGCTCCTTGACCGTAGCCAGGCTGGTGATCCCCAACTTGGCACGCCAACGGAGCCCGACGAGTTTGTCCTTCGACGACTGATCGAGCGCCTGACTGGCTGCCAAGAACTGAGGCTCGGACATCTCGAGCCATGGGGCCTGCTGCTCGGGGGTGAGAGCTTGCTTCTTACCTTTAGCCTTTCCTCCTCCAACTCCTCCCTGACCGCCAGCTCCACGAGGTCCCCCCTGAGGAGGTGGTCCAGAAGCCCAGAACCCACGAGGCTGAGGAACATGCCGAGGAGGAGCGCCATTAGACGGGAGCGGATTGGGACCTCCTCCTCCTCCTCCTCCTCCTCCTCCTCCTCCTCCTCCTCCTCCTCCTCCTCCTCCTCCTCCCCTCCTCCCCCTCCTCCCCCTCCCCTTCCTCCTCCTCCTCTTCCTCCTCCCCCTCCTCCCCCTCCCTCCTCCTCCTCCTCCTCCTCCTCCTCCTCCTCCTCCTCCTCCTCTCCTCCTCCTCCCCCCCTCCTCCTTCTCCCCCTCCTCCTCCTCCTCCTCCTCCTCCTCCTTCTCCTCCTCCTCCTCCTCCTCCTCCTCCTCCTCCTCCTCCTCCTCCTCCTCCTCCTCCCTCTCCTACCCATGGCAGTGGTGGTGGAAAGTGGGCCCAACAAGCCCCCTCTGCAGGAACTCCAGCCGGGCAGAGGGGCGGCCCGCACGTCGACGAGGCAGCCGCGCTGCGGGACGCCGCAGGCCATTGCCGAGGCCGCCAGCGGGCGGCTGCAGGGCCGACAGCCCTCGCCGGCAGCCGCGGGCATCCGCGCGCGGCCCGGGGCCAGCACTGGCGGCTGCGAGCTCTCGCCCACGCCCGCGGGCCCCTCCGAGCGCCCCGTCCTCCCCGAGGCCTCCCCTCGGCGCCTCGTGCTCTAGGAGGCGGGTGGCGCGGCCCTGCGGCGGCCCTCGGGCGCGGGGGGCGCCGGCGACCTCCGCAGCACCAGAGGTGTCCTCCTTTCTTGACGGGGGCCTTCGTCAGAGGCCCCCGCTTCCCGGAGAAGGCCATGGGCGCTGCGGCGCTGCGCGCCGACCCCCGCAGCTGGGGCTTGCTTGTGCTGTGTAGCGGCGCTCGTTCGCCCCGTTTTCTTTGGAGAGGCCCCGTGCCTTCTGAGAAGCCTGGCTCCCAACCCTCGTGGGCCGCGCCGCCAGTTTCACTGAGCCTGCATCGCCTGGTCTCGCGGCGCCAGCGCTGAGGCTCGGGTGGCGGGGCTCAAGAGGCGCAGGGGCCAGCCCTCGCCTGCTAGGGAGAGGCCCCCCCCCGACCCGACATCCGACGCCCAGAGAGATCACGAAGGCATGAAGCGTCAGGGCCAGTAGCAATATACATATTCATATATGTATACATATATATTTACATAAGCAGAAAGGTAAACATACATATACTCATCTACAGCGACAAAGATATATATACACAGATACACACCTACACAGAGCTAGTAGGTATATATATATGTATGCATATGAAAAAAGACCGGCATCGATATCCCTATGTATGTATACGCATCTACACATATAGTTGTGTGTGCTTGTAATGTAATACATATATAGACTGGTGATCAGACATAGGTGTATATACTTTAATGAACGGTAAACGTAAAGGGTATACTAGACGTGTACACAGGTACATGTACACAGTTGTATATGTAGATACGTTGCTATGCATACATATATGTATATATATATGCAGATGCTAATGTGGTTACATCGGTGTACACTTTCATCTGCATGCATATACATATATAGCTAGATGTGCAGAAAGGTTTTCATGCATATAGTCATCTGTAGAGTCAACTATATATATAATTATCCCGGCAAAACAACCTAACAGCGATGTGTAGAAGCATATCTGAAAGCATTCCCCTTAAGATTTAGATGAAAATCCAGTTGTAGAATTATGCTGTTCTCGCAGTCGTAGTCGCATTCGCGATGACAGTCGCAGCGGCAACGGCAGTCGCAGTCACAGCCTCAGCCTCAGCCTGCCTCAGCCTCAGCCTCAGCCTGCCTCAGCCTGCCTCAGCCTCAGCCTGCCTCAGCCTCAGCCTCAGCCTGCTTCAGCCTCAGCCTCAGTCTGCCTTCAGCCTCGGCCTCAGCCTCAGCCTGCCTCAGCCTCAGCCTGCATCAGCCTCAGCCTCAGCCTCAGCCTGCCTCAGCCTCAGCCTCAGCCTCAGCTGCTTCAGCCTCAGCCTCAGTCTGCCTTCAGCCTCGGCCTCAGCCTCAGCCTGCCTCAGCCTCAGCCTGCCTCGGCCGCAGCATCAGCCTGCCTCAGCATTCAAAATGTGGCCCAGGAGTGGAGTTCTGGGAACTAGAAGAACACGAAGTGGCCTACAGTTGGCTCCGGGCATTCAAAATCATGCCCAGGAATGGAGTTCTGGGAACTTGAAGAGCACGAAGTGGCCTACAGTTGGCTCCGGGCATCCAAAATGTGGCCCGGGAATGGAGTTCTGGGAAATCGAAGAGCACGAAGTGGCCTACAGTTGGCTCCGGGCATCCAAAATGTGGCCCGGGAATGGAGTTCTGGGAAGTCGAAGAGCACGAAGTGGCCTACAGTTGGCTCCGGGCATCCAAAATGTGGCCCGGGAATGAAGTTCTGGGAAGTCGAAGAGCACGAAGTGGCTTACAGTTGGCTCCCGGCATCCAAAATGTGGCCCGGGAATGGAGTTCTGGGAGCACCAAGAGCGATTTTGCGAGGATGTCCCAAGCGATTTCGGCTTCGGCGGCAGCTCCCCGGGTCCCGCCCAGACCCCCCTGAGGAGTCATGATGCTCTCTTTTGAGACCACGAGAGACCGATCAGCAAGAGCTGTAAGGTAAAAAAATGTATAGAGATGCACCTGGAGATAAACTTAAGCATATAGTCGACGCCACACAGATACATATGTATGTATGTGTATATATATATATATGTGTGTTATCATACGCACCTCTCCGAGGGAGTGCGATTAGTGCGTACTCGCCGCGTCGTTCGCGATGTTTCTGGTCGTCTCGCCAGGGACATCCTCGAAATTCTTGAAAATCGGTGGCACCCCTCACGCAGATCGTGACGTCAGGGTCTAAAAACACATGGGAATGTCAACATTCGAACATAAAACATTCAAAAACACATTGTACTTTCAATGATTTTGACACCGATTCTCAGAGAATGGCGGTTTCGCCTGAGACATCCTCCCATCATCGAGCCCCGACGTACCTTCTGGCACCTCGCCTCGGAGCCTCCTGGGGGCCTCCTGGAACCTCCTAGGGCCTCCTGGGGCTTTCTGTACCTTCTGGTACCCCAGACCCCGCCTCGGAGCCTCCTGGGGGTCTCCTGGAACCTCCTGCGGCCTCCTGGGGCCTCCTGCGGCCTCCTCGAGCTTCTTGGGGCCTCCTGGAGCCTCCTGGGGTCTCCTGGCCTCCTGAGGCCTCCTGAGGCCGCCTGGGGCCTCCTGGGGCCTCCTGGGGCTTCAGAACTACATGCACACACACACAGACACAGATCACACCCAACACATCACATGCTAGGCAAACATAACACACACACACACACAACACCTACAACGCACAGAAAACACGCACGACACAGAGCACACATCACACACACCCACACAACACTGGAGCCTATTCCGGTATCCAAGTCGGGCCTCGTGAGGCTTCTTGGTGGGCCCTGGTACACACATCGCAAGGTGTGGCAACCCCATTTTCGCCTGCGACATCCTCGCAACTCTGGGTTCAAAGATGCTCTGAACTCAGGTGTTCAGGCCACTTTCGCCTGAGACATCCTCGCAACTCTGAGTTCCGAGATGCCCTGAGCTGAGGTGGTCAGGCCACTTTCGCTTAAGACATCTTCGCAACGCTGACCTCGGAGAGGCATTGCCCTCGTCGATCCTCCTGCTCGATCCCCAATCCGTTTGGGGGGGCTCTAACTCGATCTTAGATTATTATGCATTCACCTTCTGCCTCTTCCCCTTCTCTTCGGCACGCCCTGGCGGCGCCGCCCCAGCTTCCCCTTCTCCATCTCCGATCCCGCCGTCATGGTGTCTTCCTGCTTCAAACGCCCTTCCAGTTTTTGTTGTATGAGCCTGGGCACACACTTGCCACTTGCATATACACGTAGCACCCTGCAGATGCGGATAAGAGTGATGGGGGCGGTGAGGACGTCGGCAGTCTGTGAGACTGTGGAGAAGCCCGCCGCAGGCGCCAAAGTTTCACAAATTATTCAACGGGCCCGCCGCAGGCGCCGACTTTTTCTTCAAACCAATGTGGATCAGTCGCGGGTGGGTCGTGATCTGGGTCTCAAGTGGGTCGCGGGTGGGTCGCGGGTGGGTCGCGGGTGGGTCGCGGGGTAGGCCGCGGGAGGGTCGCGGGTGGGGTCGTGGGTGGGTCGCGGGGTGGGTCGCGGGTGGGTCGCGGTTTGGGTCGCGGGTGGGTCGAGAGGTGGGTCGCGGGATGGGTCGCGGGGTGGGTCGCGGGGTGAGTCGAGGGTGGGTCGCGGGGGGGACGACGACAACAAACAACAACAACAACAACAACAACAACAACAACAACAACAACAACAACAACAACAACAACAACAATCACTTTACCCGAACGCTCAGTGTTCTCACCAGTGCCAGGGTTTTCATGCGACGCCAGCCAATACCCCCACTTTGTGGGGGGGCAGTGCAAGCTCTACCAAATATCCACACGACTCTTCGCCACCACCCACACCCAGCTTCCCGCCCTATGACGTTCGGACACTTCACTTCGTGGCCTGCGGACGACCGTGGCTACTACACTGGCGTGGAGTACACACCCACAGAAGTTGTTAAGCCTACGTTCGTACACCCACAGAAGTTGTTAAGCCTTGTTAACCCACAGAAGTTGTTAAGCCTTCCACAGAACATCTGTTGCATATGATGCATATGGTACATGATACACATGATACGAGCTCATGTAACATAAATGTTGGAAAACCATTGGTTTTTTTAGGATTCGGACAGCGCGCGCGGGTAGAAATTTTGAAAAGTCGTGCAGGTGTTTTTCGAGGACCTACGGTGCGATTCGTGTGATTTTATGATGCGCGGTGCTAAAATTCTTAAGAAGCCCAATGGTTTTTGGAGATTTCGGCGTGCGCGCGCGAAGAAAAAACGAATGTGTCCCGCATGGTATTATTTGACAGGGATGATGGCCCTGGCAGGTGCGCAACCGTTGTCGCAGAAGTTCGAAAAAGTTGCTCGCAAAAGCCCGTTTGACAGAAATGTTTAAAAAGTGTTGGGTTTCCTACGAATCCGCAAGAGCGCGCGGGATGAGATTTTGACATTTTTTGTTGAAAAACCATTGGTTTTTTGATGTTTTTATGTTAAAATCGCTGCGAACACTAAGGTTTTGGAAGGATTTCGTCTTGCGCGCGCGAATGTCCACTTTACCTTATTTTTTGCAAGGGATTCTTGAAATTTGATTATATTAGAACAAGAAATGTCATTTTCTATTGTTTTTTGCAAGGGAAAGCGGATTACAACAAAACAACCGGATCCTGTACACACCCTCTTTTCTGAGGCTTCCTCACGAAAATGATGAAAATGTAGCTGCGGCCTAGGCGGCGCAGGGGGGGCGCGCACCAGGGGGCCCAACAATAATTATTCTTTAGAATAAATGATGTTCAACAACAACCAGAACAACGCAGCAAGCAGAATCCTCACCACCGATTCTCACTTCAGCCACGCACCCAGGGACAATGAATGACCGCTCGGCCCCCTCACTCTGATATAGATGTGTTCGTATCGATGGAATGACCGACATATATACATTTCGCTGTAGTTGTACACATGTATATAAATACATATATCAATATATGTGTATTGTCAGTGCTTGCATGTTGATGTCTGTCGCCAACGGTCCGACGCCGTCTGTTGTGTTGTAGTTTCTCGGTGATGCAACAAGCCGCCCACCTTGCGATCCAAGAGTTGGCCGGGGGCGTAGGCACGGGCACCGCGCTGTGAGGCGGCGCGCCTGGATGTCCGCCGCTTGCTCCGCAGTTACACTTCCAGGCGCCGGCGCCGCAAGTGTGCACTTGCGTCGGCCCCAGCTGGACGGCCATTACCTCGGCCGTCAGTCTCCTGGCGGCAGGGCTGTTCTGTGCCTTCGCGGCGGGGGCCAGCTGGCAGCGGGCTCAGCCAGGTGAGGCGCCTCCGCCCGCGTCGGCGGACGATAGTCTCGGGCAGCTGGCCCGCCGGCAAGCGCTGCTGGTCAGGCGCCTCGACCCCAGGGCGATCGAGTCCGACAGGGCCTGATGGCACATGCGCGGGCAGGACAGTTCGTGTAGGTAGAGTAT